CCCTGTGGCTGGCAGCTCCATCCCTTCAGCTAAGGAGTATATCAAGTAGGTGTCTGCCAATGAGGCGGCACAGGTGTAGTCCCAGGCAATCTTTCTATCCTTCCAGGGAAGCATAGTGGCCCCATCAGTACGCTGTTGACTCCCATCAGACCTCTGCACTTGGGGTTCCCGTTGGGCTGGGCAACGGGCTGTGGTGAGGCTTCTCTTTGTGATGCCGTTGACCTCCTCATGTGTGTGTGTGTGTCAGTGATTATTTAAAAATCACAAACATGAATACATTAGCACAATATATAGAAGATTATGGATATCCTCCAGCTTCTCTGAAGCTGGATGCAAGCCCAATACACAGCAAGCATTTCCCCTCTGGATGGCCATGCTGAGGTGCTGGAACAGTAAGGTGGCTGCGCTTGGGTCGCTGGTGGTGTCAGTGAGTCTGGAACTCAGTTCCTTGAGGGAATATGTGACACTCTTCCCCCATGATCCCAGGGTCTCCAATCCCACTGGAACAAATTGATACTGATGGCCTATGTCTCTGTACTTGCTGATCTTGTACTCCTCCCTGTGACCTGCAGTATCTCCTTGTTGCCAAGCACTGTGACGGATGTAGGTGTCAGCCAGCATCGACACGCAGGTATAGTCCCATGCTAAAAGCTAGCCATTCCTCAAAGGATATATATAGTGATCCCATCAGGGTAGTTTGTGGGATTGAGTATTGTTGGCAGCTAGTGATCAGGACTCTCCCTCCCGGCTGGACAGATTGCTGTAGCGAGGTTTCTCTTTATGATATCATGGACTTCATTGTGTCTTGCATGCCAGCTCTTAGTTTTGGAGCATTTTAGGCCATGTAGACCATATTGATTGCAGCAAATACACGTATATTCTCTGAATTGGGGCAGTAAGGTAGATAGCCACTGCAATATGGAGGGTCTGTGGGTCGAAGTTTGTTTCCATTGCCGAAATGGGAACTGTTTGGAGGAAGTCCATACAGTGATGTGCACTCACAGCTTTGAGACTAGCAGTGTCCCTGTTGGATGTTGTAGCCCTGAGAATCTTGGTATGCTCCTTTCAGCAATGGGGCCATACCAACTTGACTGTTTGCAGGCCAGTGCTGCACTAGGGTTTGGTGATGGAACAGCGAGAGTCTCCCATTCTGTAATGGCACTGGTGTAGCTAGGACCCCGTGTTCCTGCTTAGTCACCAAGGTTGTCTGGAAGAATTTGTTTTATTAACTCTTCTGATGCTCTGGAGGAGGATAAGAAAGCTGGTAGGATAATCGGGAAGGATTTGTATACTCCCTGGCCCACAAACCTGACTGGATGTGGGGCTTGTAACCACTGTCCATCTTCAGGGAAAGATTCAGTATACACTCTAGCTCCAGTTTCTCTGAACAAAAGCTCTAAACTAAGATCAAGACACACTACCTTGACTGGCTGATGTGTGCTATTTACATGTCATGTGTAGGCGAGATCTTCGTGACCCTGATAGTCTTGTGTTTAACATTATAATGATAATGAACGTGTGCTCATGAAATTCTTGTGTTTAAGTTTACAAAGTTACTGAGCGTGTTCTAAAATTTAGAGAACAGTTTGATATTTATAAGATTTTATCCTAAGCTTGCCTTGATTTCTAACATTTACGCCAAGGTGACTGTATTATTGTATATGATACTGTGGGTCCATTTTACAGCAAGTAATCGTAAATTGTCACTTCCGAGAAGCTGATGATACTGTGCTTATGGGAGATTCTAAAGAAATATTGCAAAGGTTAGTGGACGAGTTTGGGAGTGTGTGTAAAGGTAGAAAGTTGAAAGTGAACATAGAAAGGAGTAAGGTGATGAGGGTATCAAATGATTTAGATAAAGAAAAATTGGATATCAAATTGGGGAGGAAGAGTATGGAAGAAATGAATGTTTTCAGATATTTCTGAGTTGACCTGTCAGCGGATGGATTTATGAAGGATGAGGTTAATCATAGAATTGATGAAGGAAAAAAGGTGAGTGGTGCATTGAGATATATGTGGAGACGAAAACGTTATCTATGGAGGCACAGAAGGGAATGTATGAAAGTATAGTAGTACCAACACTCTTACATGGGTGTGAAGCTTGGGTTGTGAATGCAGCAGCGAGGAGACGGTTAGAGGCAGTGGAGATGTCCTGTCTAAGGGCAATGTGTGGTGTAAATATTATGCAGAAAATTCGGAGTGTGGAAATTGGGAGAAGGTGTGGAGTTAATAAAAGTATTAGTCAAAGGGCTGAAGAGGGGTTGTTGAGGTGGTGTGGTCATTTAGAGAGAATGGATCAAAGTAGAATGACAAGGAGAGCGTATAAATCTGTAGGGGAAGGAAGGCGGGGTAGGGGTCGTCCTCAAAAAGGTTGGAAGGAGGGGTAAAGGAGGTTTTGTGGGCCAGGGGCTTGGACTTCCAGCAAGCGTGCGTGAGCGTGTTAAATAGGAGTGAATGGAGACGAATGGTATTTGGGACCTGACGATCTGTTGGAGTGTGAGCAGGGTAATATTTAGTGAAGGGATTCAGGGAAACCGGTTATTTTTATATAGCCGGACTTGAGTCCTGGAAATGGGAAGTACAATGCCTGCACTCTAAAGGAGGGGTTTGGGATATTGGCAGTTTGGAGGGATATGTTGTGTATCTTTATAGGTATATTCTTCTAAACTGTTGTGTTCTGAGCACCTCTGCAAAAACAGTGATTATGTGTGAGTGAGGCGAAAGTGTTGAATGATCATGAAAGTATTTTCTTTTTGGGGATTTTCTTTTTGGGTCACCCTGCCTCGGTGGGAGACAGCCGACTTATTTATACACACAACACACACACACACACACACACACACACACACACACACACACACATATATATAATATATATATATATATATATATATATATATGTATATGCTACCGTCTTCTGTTATCAGAGGAGTTGTATTTTTTTCCTTTCCATGGATCGTTGTTGTCTTCCTCTCGTCTCAGGGCTTTCCCCTAAATATAATAATAATAATAGTAACAACAACAATAATAATTATAGCTGAGGTGGGGAAGGGGTTGAATTTTGTAAATATCTGGGAGTAAATGTCAAACAAGCATCGTGCGGGTCATTGTGTTAGAACACCTGGGTGGCAGATCCATTCACTTTATCCTTGCCTAATATAGACCTTGAATTTGATTAAAAATACAGCTTTTTTCTCTAATTAGAAACAAGTGGAGGGAGTGAGAGAGAGCGAACCCGCACACAGGAATGCCATGACGAATCGTCTCATTGAGACGCCGCCAGCGTGCGCGCCGCCCTCATTGCTATTCCTGCTTTCTGGTGGTTATCCCACTTGACTGCCTCCGTGTTCGCGGTAACCAGTCTGACTGCTGCCTGCTGCACGCTCCACTCACACACTCGAGTCTCTGTGTCACACTTGAAAGATTGATGCCACACTTGGAGATAGTGTAGGTCACACTTGATTGTATAAACCACGATAGCCAGTGGCTAACGCGTCGGTTTGGAGTTTGACGACTCACTCACCGCGGGTTCAGTCCCCGCCCGTACCGTGGTTTGTTTGCAATCTGGTCATTACGACTTCTTGAGTCTTGATTGTATGGTTGCGATTAAAGATTGTGGCGTAACAAAAAGTGTCAGGTCACACTTGAAGACTGAGATCACACTAGACTATTATGAGATCACACTTCATTTAAGAGATATAAATAACACAAACCTTCTGGTTATATTTCAAACTTTATATATCCTTGTTAAGGTCTCATCTCAATCATGCTCCTCAGTTCTGGTCTCGTTTTAGTGAATGGCCAGAAATACGCTGGAAAACACACAGAGAAGAATGACGAAGTTGATCCTATGTATCAGAAACCTTTCTTACGATGAAAGGCTGAGAGAACTGAAGCTTCGCTCTCCGGAAAGTTGTAGGATTAATGAAGTGCACAATTGGAAAATAGGAATAAAGGAAGGGATATAAAAAAAATAGAGCTGAAAACATCTAAAACAGGACTCGCAGCAATGAATTTAAGTTGGACAAATTTAGATTTAGAAAGGATGTAGGAAAGCACTGGTTTGGCATTCATCGATGAGCAGAACTCCCAAGCAGCGTCACTTAAGCGAGAACTGTGAATAGCTTTCAAAATAAGTGGGGCAGTCCCATGAATGGGTGTAGTTAGCCCTGCCTAGCATGAAAACACAAGATATCTCTCATAACTGCTATTACCACATGTCGTCCGAAATGTGTCGAGTAACTTATGTCGGATCACTTGAGAAGAGACCACTGTATTCTTGCAGTCACCTCGTGTCTTATGAAGTAGATCACCAAGGTGACAGTAAGTCAGAACATTCTCCTCATTGGCATTCTTTTGAGTCTAGCATTGACGGGCTCCCTGGCGTCCCTTTGAGCCCGGCATTGATGGGTTTCCTGGCGTCCCTTTGAGTCCAGTATTGATGGGTTCCCTGGCGTTCCTTTGAGCCCGGCATTGATGGGTTTCCTGGCGTCCCTTTGAGTCCAGTATTGATGGGTTCCCTGGCGTTCCTTTGAGCAGAGCACTGATGGGCTCCCTGGCGTTCCTTTGAGCAGAGCACTGATGGGTTCACTGGCTTCCCTTTGAGCAGAGCATTGATGGGTTCCCTGGCGTTCCTTTGATCCCATCATTGATGCGTTCCCTGGCGTTCCTTTGAACCCAGCATTGATGGGTTCTCTGGCGTCGCTTTGAGTCCAGCATTGATGGGTTCCCTGGCGTCCCTTTGAGTAGAGCATTGATGGGTTCCCTGGGGTTCCTTCGAGTCCAGCATTGATGGGTTCCCTGGCGTCCCTTTGAGTCCAGCACTGATGGGCGGAACCACCAGGATCTCTACCTCAGCCTCATACACACACTTTTCCCTATCCTCCCCACCCCCCTCTTCTTTCCCCCCCTCTCGCTCTCTCTCTCTCGTCTTTTCCCTTTCTTCCCACTCATCTTTTCTCTCCTTACTTTTATCACACTTTCATCTTTACGTCAAGCTTCAATAAAAATAACTAAAATCGAGAAAACTTATACAGGTGGCATAGGGATGAGGTATCCTAGTTAGGTTAAGTTACGATAGATTCGACTAGTTTACATTACGTTACGCTGGTTTACGTCAGGCTAGGTTAAAACATACACTGTGTGACCTTTAGGAGAGCATAGCGGACGACCCTCACCCGTGACGTCAGAGTGGAGGCTCCTCCTACCTGGCTGGAAGGAGCGTGCCAGGCTGGCTGCAAGTCTCCACTCACAACAATCTGGCCCAAGCTCAGCTCCGGGCAGGATCTACACCAAGCTGCCCGCACCAAAGGGGAAGCACGGACATTAGGGAACTTACCTGCCAGCTCTAATTCACCCACCGAGATAGATGACCTCCAGGATTCTAGCTACGTAAACAAGGCATCATATTCTTTCGAACCCGGGTTAGCCGGGTGGTAGCCCCACACTACGATCCCGGATTAGAGGCTTTGTTTGGAAACAATGGGGAAACAAGTCGATGGAGATCCGGCATGAGGTGACATGACTAGCCGAGTGATGGCAGCAGGCACTACATAAACCTGGAGCTCAGTGCTCTTGACGTTCGTTGGGAAGCATACATACTGGGACTCCCACGATGACGGAAACAAGGAGCCCCTGGCGGCAATTCCTGGCGGCGCTGAGCACGCTCTCAGTGGAGCCCATCATGCTCCTGGATGGCCTAGCATACTCCAACATGGTGGTGCTCGTGGAAAACCTTCAGATGGATAAAGTATGCCTGGTTAATCTCAATCAGACACAAGAAGTGTGTTCGAATCTTTCTAACCACACGGATGTGAAAGATTCAATCAGTAAAGAAGTGAGTGTTTTCGCTATGTACAACGGGATCATCACTGCCGTCATACCGCTTTTCTTCATCCTGTTCATGGGTGCGTGGAGTGACAAGTATGGCAGAAAGGTACCCCTCGCAGTGTCCACCTTAGGTCACCTCTTCTACAGTTTGGGCTATCTGGTGTCCTCAGCTGTGGATACGTGGCCGGTGGAGTACCTACTCTTTGTGGCACTGCTCGACTCTCTCGGCGGTGGCACAGTATGTTTCCTCACAGCTTCTAACTCCTACATCAGCGATGTGACTTCGGAGGCAAGCAGGACCTCTCGGGTGGGCCTTGCCAACAGCATCTGGTTTCTCGGGGGTCCTATAGGTACTCTAATTGGTACTTATATATATAAAGTTGGTGGGTACCAGGTTCTGTTTGGGACTTCTTTAAGCATGTATGTGGTGTCTCTCTTTTACATCTTCTTCTTCTTGCCAGAGAGTCATGGACCCTTCGCAAACGTTCAGAAACTTGAAAAGATCTTGCCTCCGAAGCAATCTCTTCGCCTCCGGGAGAGTATCGCCTGGATATATGGCATTGAAAAGGTGAATAAGAAGAACGTTATGCATACTAAAAGTGTTATTAAGAAAATGAAGAGCATTACCTTCAGCTTGATGGTAAAGGACTTCGTCAGTCCCAAAAGAATCGTCGAGAGCTTTAAGTGCACGCTCAAGAAGAGGGAGGGTAATGTGCGGGTTTACATCCTGCTACTCATCACTTGCAACTTGCTTCGTAAACTGGGCAGAGGTGAGTCCTGCATAGTCTTTACACTGTCGTACTGTTCCATAAGCTATAATTATTATGTGATGATCCATTGCTTTTGTATGGGGAGGAAAACCTGCCTTCTCATATTACGATGTGATCTTTAGTTTCTTCTCTATGGGTTGTGGGAAGAACGGGTATGCCAGCTGAAAGCCTAGGACAAATGACGAAAGCTCCGCTGAGTAAATTATCTTACGACTGAGACCAGTATCAGGGAAACTATTTTCACTAAAATGTGTTGACTGAGAGGCAAAGTTCCCCAGTGTGACGCCTTAGAGACCACTCAGCCACACATGCCTCAAGAACCTAGGTAGCCTGGTTACAAGCTACGTTTCTTCCTTGCCCAGTGCCCATGCCTGGGGCACAGTGAGCCTCAGGTATGGTTTCCAGCTATTTCATTCTCCCCCCTGTATGTTCTGATCACACGAGTGATTTTATATCAATGCACCAAGCAGAAACAAGCGGAGATAATATGTATGAGCAAGTGTACTGCTGGCTGTGATCTTTCTCTGTATACCCTCCCCCCGCTGGTTTGTGTAATTCATTGATTATATTTTTTTTAATTATCACACTGGCCGATTCCCACCAAGGCAGGGTGGCCCGAAAAAGAAAAACTTTCATCATCATTCACTCCATCACTGTCTTGCCAGAAGGGTGCTTTACACTACAGTTTTTAAACTGCAACATTAACACCCCTCTTTCAGAGTGCAGGCACTGTACTTCCCATCTCCAGGACTCAAGTCCGGCCTGCCGGTTTCCCTGAATCCCTTCATAAATGTTACTATGCTCACACTCCAACAGCATGTCAAGTATTAAAAACCATTTGTCTCCATTCGCACCTATCTAACATGCTCACACATGCTTACTGGAAGTCTAAGCCCCTTGCACACAAAACCTCCTTTACCCCCTCCCTCCAACCTTTCCTATGCCCCGCTTTCCCTCCACTACAGATTTATGCACTCTCGAAGTCATTCTGTTTCGTTCCATTCTCTCTACATGTCCGAACCACCTCAACAACCCTTCCTCAGCCCTCTGGACAACAGTTTTGGCAATCCCCGCACCTCCTCACTAACTTCCAAACTAAGAATTCTCTGCATTATATTCACACCACACATTGCCCTCAGACATGACATCTCCACTGCCTCCATACTTCTCCTCGCTGCAACATTCATCACCCATACTTCACACCCATATAAGAGCGTTGGTAAAACTATACTCTCATAAATTCCCCTTTTTGCTTCCAAGGACAAAGTTCTTTGTCTCCACAGACTCCTAAGTGCACCGCTCACCCTTTTTCCCTCATCAATTCTATGATTCACCTCATCCTTCATAGACCCATCTGCTGACACGTCCACTCCCAAATATCTGAATACATTCACCTCCTCCATACTCTCTCACTCCAATCTGATATCCAAGCTTTCGTCACCTAATCTTTTTGTTATCCTCATAACCTTACTCTTTCCTACATTTACTTTTAATTTTCTTCTTTTACATACCCTACCAGATTCATCCACCAACCTCTACAACTTCTCTTCAGAATCTCCCAAGAGCACAGTGTCATCAGCAAAAAGCAACTGTGTCAACTGCCACTTTGTGTCTGATTGTTTATCTTTTAACTCCACGCCTCTTGCCAAGACCCTCGCATTCACTTCTCTTACAGCCCCATCTATAAATATTTTGAACAACCATGGTAACATCATACATCCTTGTCTAAGGCCTACTTACTGGGAAATAATCTCCCTCTTTCCTACATACTCTAACCTGAGCCTCACTATCCTCGTAAAAACTCTTCACTGTTTTCAGTAACCTACCTCCTACACCATACACTTGCAACATCTACCACATTGCCCCCCTATCCACCCTGTCAAACGCCTTTTCCAAATCCATAAATGCCACAAAGACCTCTTTAGCCTTATCTAAATACTGTTCACTTATATATTTCACTGTAAACACATGGTCCACACACCCCCCTACCTTTCCTAAAGCCTCCTTGTTCATCTGCTATCCTATTCTCCGTCTTACTCTTAATTCTTTCAATAATAACTCTACCATACACTTTACCAGGTATACTCAACAGACTTATCCCCCTATAATTTTTGCACTCTCTTTTGTCCCCTTTGCCTTTATACAAAGGAACTATACATGCTTTCTGCCAGCCCCTAACTACCTTACCCTCTTCCATATATTTATTAAATAATAGCACCAACCACTCCAAAACTATATCCCCACCTGCTTTTAACATTTCTATCTTTATCCCCATCAATCTCGGCTGCCTTACCCCCTTTCATTTTACCTACTGCCTCACGAACTTCCCCCCACACTCACAACTGGCTCTTCCTCACTCCTACAAGATGTTATTCCTCCTTACCCTATACACGAAATCACAGCTTTCCTATCTTCACCAACATTTAACAATTCCTCAAAATATTCCCTCCATCTTCCCGATACCTCTAACTCTCCATTTAATAACTCTCCTCTCCTAATTTTAACTGACAAATCCATTTGTTCTCCTGGCTTCCTCAACTTATTAATCTCACTCCAAAACTTTTTCTTATTTTCAACAAAATTTGTTGATAACATCTCACGCACTCTCTCATTTGCTCTCTTTTTACATTGCTTCACCACTCTCTTAACCTCTCTTTTTCTTTCCATATACTTTTCCCGCCTTGCATCACTTCTACTTTGTAAAAACCTCTCATATGCTAACTTACTACTTACTACTCTCTTTACATCATTCCACCAATCGCTCTTCTTCCCTCCCACACCCACTTTCCTGTAACCACAAACTTCTGCTGAACACTCTAACACTACATTTTTAAACCTGCCCCATACATCTTCGACCCCATTGCCTATGCTCTCATTAGCCCATCTATCCTCCAACAGTTTTTTTTATATCTTACCCTAACTGCCTCCTCTTTTAGTTTGTAAACCTTCACCTCTCTCTCTTATTTGATGCTTCTATTTTCCTTGTATCCCATCTACCTTTTACTCTCAGTGTAGCTACAACTAAAAGTGATCTGATATATCTGTGGCCCCTCTATAAACATGTACATCCTGAAGTCTACTCAACAGTCTTTTATCTACCAATACATAATCCAACAAACTACTGTCATTTCGCCCTTCATCATAACTTGTATACTTATTTATTCTCCTTTTCTTAAAATATGTATTACCTATAACTAAACCTCTTTCTATACAAAAATCAATCAAAGGGCTCCCATTATCATTTACACTTGGCACCCCAAACTTACCTACCACACCCTCTCTAAATGTTTCTCCTACTTTAGCATTTAGGTCTCCTACCACAATTACTCTCTCATTTGGTTCATAGGTTCCTCTACATTCACTTAACATCTCCCAAAATCTCTCTGTGTCCTCTACACTTCTTTCTCCTCCAGGTGTATACACGCTCATTATGACTTACTTTTCGCATCCAACCCTTATTTTAATCCACATAATCCTTGAATTTACACATTTATATTTCCTCTTCTCTTTCCATAACTGATCCTTCAACATTATTGCTACCCCTTCCTTAGCTCTAACTCTCTCAGACACTCCTGACTTAATCCCATTTATTTCTCCCCACCGAAACTCCCCTACCCCCTTCAGCTTTGTTCCACTGAAGGCCAGGACATCCAACTTCTTTTCATTCATAACACACACACACATACACACACACACACACACACACACACACACACACACACACACACATATCCTCTCTGTCCTTGTAATGTTTGTAACAGCTTGACAAAACTCCTGGAGAGCGAAACGTTGCCACAATAAAATGTCACATTAGTTACACCTGTGTCCTTTTACCTGACATTTTGTCGGTAATTCTACCATTACTCATTTTAACGCTATTGTCCTGAAACTAAGGAACAGTAAGTGCCTCTCGAGGAAAAACCTTTTCTCGTCGGCTTCAAACTCGTAAAACAAGTGTATCTTACTTAGGAAAAAAAATGGTGTGTATATTGTGGCACTTTGTAGGAATTTTACATAATATTATCGACCAGTTCTGTTATTCGTAATTTACCTGTATCACATTCCGGATGACAACGGACACTATATTCCATCTGCCTTTGACATGACGGATAATAATAATAATAATAATAATAATAATAATAATAATAATAATAATAATAATAATAATAATAATAAGAAGAAGAAGAAGAAGAAGAAGAAGAAGAAGAAACAGTAGAAGTAGAAATAGTAATAGCAAAAGTAGTGGTAATAGTAGTAGAAGTACAAGTGTGTTTATGCACGTTTTTGGTTGGAGATGTACCTTAGTTCACTTGGATACAGATTATGTGTATACGTCTTTCAGTCGTATGGTATTTATTCTAATAAACTACAGTCTGCCCTATCGCAACGTTGCAGTATTTCTAGCAGGACTGAAAATGACTTACGAGGGTTACCTAGCTCTTTAAGCAACGCAGGATAACGGCATATATTGATGCGTGCACGAGAGACCCAACGTTGCCTTTTCGTAATGAATTCTATTGATATACGACTTGTCAGACACAGCAGCATTATGGGATCTTGGTACAGAAGACATCTCCACAACCTACTTGCTATCTCCTGGCCCAACTCTTGGGAATGACCTACTTCCACTGGGTAATCCCGCCTACCAGTGACAGTATCTTCCGCTGCGCCTCATCTGACTCCAGCATAAAAGCACCAGTCTTTCTGTCTGTGGTACAGATTCTACAAGACTGCGGACTGATTGCCTCGTCTTCCACTGTCTTCTGTATATATTTCTGAAGTCTTCATATTATATCTATTTACTGTATTGATAAAGTCACTGGATGGGGAAACGTCTACGAAGATACCTAGATGTTGCAAATGTGATAAATTCATCATGTCTTCTGGCGGCGAGGCGGCGTTATTCTGGGGTTGTCTTGTGCTGCTCTTCGGAGAATTTGGTCGTTGGATATTACTCATTATCTTTATGAGTAACTATCTATTTAACTCGCCTTAGTCAT